ACACACACACACACACACAACCACAACACACACACGTGCATTTGCACATACATGTGTGCGCATGCACCCACATACACACGCATACACAAAGAAATCTCCTAAAAATGACTGCATTTGAGAGGTATGTGCATGTTACATATTATGAGTTATGACAAAAATATAAATAAAATGTTGTGTGCATACATTTGTTATGCGGTGTCATTGTTATTGTTGCTTATTGTATTTCAGTATTTAAACCAATATGATTTCTCTGGAGTCCAGAGTTTAATATTTCAAATTAATTTTAAGATGTAAAAGACAAAAAACGTAAAATTTAAACAAACATAAAATAACACCTTCCTGTGTGTGTGTGTGTGTGTGTGTCTGTGTGTAAGTGCATTTGCTGCCTCTCTCCTTACCTTCTGCGTCTCATCCTTCTTCTCCTGTTTAAGGATGTCAGTGAGGTTAATGAGCTTCTCCATGGCCTCGACCTGCCTGCTCAGGTGTTTCAGGTACATGCCACACGCCCTGCAGTAAGCCTCCAACAGCAGCCCAAACCTCTGGCTCACTGTTTTATTGTGCATTTCTGACCTGAGAGGAGGGCACAAAGAGGAGGGAGTGAGAAGCTGTCTAGAAAGACACAGAGAAAGGAAGGTACACAAACATGAAGAAAAAGCAATCTGAAAGGTGACTCACTTGAGATGCCAGAAGAAGAAATGACCTATCCTTTGATTGGTCAGGGCCTTTTTCAGGAGGAAACGGGCCAGGGGATTCTCAAGATACTGTTCATATTTTAATACCTAGAGCAGGAGGAGAGGAGAGGAAGGGAAGATTGGAGGGAAAGAGCAAGAAGAGGTTCAGATTAGTCATTTCTGACTTTATAATGTCTCTCACCATGCAGTCTCTGTACACCAAGCACAAAAACAACCTCAGGCACGCCGGAAAGTCTTTTACACAACAGAAAGATTGCTTTCCAACGGATATAACTCTGGCTACCAAGGACACCCAGGCTGAAGAAAAGTATTCCACAGCCACTTGAGTCATAGCACTGTTATTTCCTCACTGTCTTCCTTTTTACCCCATTATTTTGTCAATCAGTTCCTTGATAGTCCAGACTCTCAGTCAGACCTACCTGTACAAGCTGGATGAGGTACTGGGACAGTTTGTCATCAGTAAGGTATTTGTCGAGGCAGCGTACAGCAAAGTGCCTGACCATGGGGTCTGGGTAGTTACAGTCCAGCAGCTCCATGGCCTGCTCAGGACGGATAGACGGCCATTCCTTCAACAGACAATACATCTGGGAAACATACAAACCAAGGAATATTCATTATTACTCATCACACACTATTCATAGAGAGTATGAGCATTAGGGTAAGTATTTTGGTAAATGTATACATTAAAAATAAAGGAATGGAATAAATCTTTTACTGCAACATGTTTTTCATTTGGTCCTTACAAGCCAAGATTATTCTACGTCCATTTCTCAGAATCCAGTAAAAATACTCTTTCTTTATGTTCCTTCTTGTTTATCGAAGAAGGAACAATGAACTATGAATGAAATGGCATGGCATCACCTGTGCTACTTCATCTCTGGAGTTCCATTTGACAGCGAGAAGGATCTTGGGAAGGATCTCCGGGATGTTCACGCAGTAGTGCCTGATAGAGAAAGAGAAAGGGGATAATTACTGTGTTTTGCATCCCAGATTAAGTCTCAATCAGTTGTTTTTACGTATATCTACATCCTGCATACAAGATTTTACATACAGCTACATACTAGTCTGAAATGTGTGATGCCATTCTATGCAATCTATGGTTCTACATAAAGTACTACTTTACGTGCTATACAGTAAAGCAGTAAAGTGTGATATTTACCTGTGTCTCCAGAGGAAGTCTTTCTCCTGCTCAGTGATTTCTGAAAGAGGGTCTCTGTTACTCAGCTGTCTCATCTGCTCGGTGTCGCTCTCTGTCAGGGCGTGATCTCTGGCCGACCGGTTGCTCTGAAACACATCCGGAAGGAAATACTTCAAATATTGCATCATTACATTACTAACACTGCATTATTACATTACTAACACGACCCTAATTGCCTGTTGGTCATCATGTTTTTCAAGGTACTATACGAGAACCTGATCCCTGCCCACATTTACTCTTTAATAAAACACAGAGTAACACAAGTTATTATGTTGTCATTAACCTCTTTTATCGTAATGAAGCACAATAACTGGCATCATTACTTTGTCGTTTACTGTTAGAGCCTCTATTTGTTACTTTTTTTCATGTATCACAGTATCTTTGTAGCAGTAATTTAAAAAAATATTTGCCTGTCTGAATATTCAGCCATGCAGTCATGATGAGACACACAAATAGCTTGGAACATTAACAACTGTTATCCATTAAGGCCCATTACTGTTAGAGAAGCTTCTCAAACAACTCACGTTACAGATAAAGGAATTATTTAATACACAACACTACGCTATCATCATAAATAAATCAACAGTGTACGGTCCAGCTCTCTTGCATCGCACAGTATGTAAAAGACCAATAACAACATCCCACATTAAAAAAGATGTATGTCTATTTTCTGTAAATGCTAATCTTTATACGATTCCAAATCTTGTACTATAATATTAAGTATTCAGCCGTGTGTACCACAGTTCTGGTCAGAAGTTTAACCACACTTCTAAATTCGTGCGCAAGGTTTACTGAACTGAACTCCAGGTCTGTTTTTGCAGCCTGTGTCTCTGAAGCATGAAATGTATTTGTGAATGTATTTAAATGACTGTATTTTTTCCGGCAATTGACTTGAAATAAATTAATTCTATTGATGCATTTCCTTTGTTTCTAACTTAATCTTCACAGATACATAGTTAGTGGGAGCAGGACAGGAGAAAAACGTCCCGGCTCTCTGATCACCATCGCTGTGTTTTAATGCAGCTAAATTCACAATTTAACTGTTTTCATTCATGTTTTTTTTTCTGAAACGGGAATGAAATTTGATCACGGCTCATGAATACAATGTTGGACAGCAGTCGTCACCAAACTGCTGAGAACATTCGCCGTAAGTCTCAGGCTGTTAAGAACCCCGACAATGCCCTCAAATCCTGAATCCCTTTTTTTCTTTTGCCCATCGCTTTGTCAAGAGCATAACATTTAAACTGTCCTATGCCCAATCATACTCCTTAACCAAATCAAGTCTGATTCATGATGTCAGTTTAGATTTGAATTATTCTAAATTATTTTCTGCTCAGGAACAAGCCGCATGATATCATCATTACACAGTTGGGCACTCCTCACATTTGACACACACATCATGAATAACTTAACACATCGTCTCACACTGTTCACATCCTCTCACATGGCAGAGTAACTCACAGTGGCACTCACGCAAGTGTCGGAACCAACTCAGTTATAAAGTCAACAATGAGTCTTCATAGTTCATTGATTGGTGGAAAATAACCATATTTATCGAATCACTTATTGCCCTAAATGTACTCGTGTCAAAATGTGTCAATAAATAAAATGTAAAGAGCTATAACATGAATTGAAAGTGTTGGTGCTGCATTTAATGAAACCTCTCTTTCACTAAAGGCAACATGCGAATATAATTTACCCAAAAGATCCAATAACACCCAACTAGAATTACACCTGGTTTCTTCCACAACACACACAGGTGTTCACATTACCAACACACTACCAACCATCACAACTAATATAGCAGATTGTCATTACATGGAATCCCCTCAACAAGGACACATCCACACCTCACCTCATGAACCAATGTCAAGCTACAAAGGGGTCTACTGAGTGGTGAAATAGAAACACCTTCATTAATAACGTACCTCATCCTATCTAAGTAACTCTACACATGTTTCTTTACATGTGGATATTTGTGCTCTGTTACTTAAATGAATCAGCTCATTAGAGTGAGAATATGAAGGTAGATAAGTTTCTTAATGCTGCATCTAAGGACTTTGTCTTTATTGATGACAGTCATGTGTGTTAAGTATGAAAGTACACCAAGTGCACACCTCTCCCACTCCTGCTGCTGTATTTCTTCACTTGTGTTTGAGTTTCAAAATAATAAAACAACTCGCTGTGTTGTTGCGCCTTTCTGGCCCACTAGTTGGTGGCTGGTAAGCAGGTTAATACCTGTCCGGAGAGGTTGTAGCTATAGCCCAGTTCCCTGGAGATGGTCCAGTTTGCGTGATCCTCTACTGCATTCATATCTGGGTATTTGACTGAACTACTAAAGTGGTCAAACTCCAGCTCCAGACATGGGGTTTCCTGTACAACAGAGATTAAAAGGATATAATTAAATTACAGTATCTCACAAAACAGTCAAACTCTCAATTCAAGTTCCACTTTTTAATCATCATATGCAGAACAATTACAGAGAAGCAGCAATGAAAATATTAAGTCTCAGGCTCCCTCCTGAGACTTTTTAAATATGGATTAGAAGATGGAAACCCGTTACTTTCTTATATCTCATTTCTGAAATGGATCATGAACAGTGCAAATGAACATTGAAGCAAGAGGCTGAATTTGAATACCTTATTGGGGTTGGATCCTGTGACTCCAATGGGGTTGAGAAGGTCTTCAAGGCCATGAGGGACCGGCCAGAGGTTCAGAGCCATCTTGTTGGCCACCAGAGTGTGAGTGTAGTCAAACAAGTTGATATTACCCCAAGCAAGTGGACAGTGCTCCTAAAGGGAGAAAGAGAGGGAGGGAAAGAAAGAGAAAGAGAGAGAGAGAGAGAGAGAGAGAGAGAGAGAGAGAACCACTGATTCCAAATTTACAGCGAGTAGTTTCAATATGAGAAGCTCGTGGGAGAATCAGACACAAACAGATGGTGAATCATTTTGGCTTTTAACTAGGCTCTCAACACCAACGTATTCTGGGACTCTCAGTGTGAAAGTAAGTACATAATCTCATTAAGGCTTCCTTCTGCTAAGAACACAGTAAATCACTCACTCAGAAAATACACTTGTACATTAGTCAATGGGTGTAATAAAAACAAAATGTACTTCAGCCAAGTGAAAGTACAGACTAAGTATCCACAAGTTAACATTTATACATATCTCAGTTTTACTTCAGTCTCACCCTATTGACTTACTGGACTTATTAAAACTGATCCTTTTTCCGATGAAACTCTCTATTGGTCAAGGCTGCTGAGTGCTTCCCTATCCCAAAGCTTACGTTTTTTTTTTCCCAATAAGGCAGATAAAGATAAAGGAGATGCTCTTTGGTGCAATTAATCTGCCTTCAATGTGTTCTTTTGTTTTATCAGGTTCAAAAAATATTTGAAAGGGTCTTAAGGTGCGTTCACACCAAACGCGGTGCGAATAATTCGCGCTGCGTTTGGTGTGAGTCTTCACTTAGGGGCAGCGATGGAACAAGGTGACAGAAGGTAACATGGCGAGGCGGACAGAGTTTACGCGCAGACAGCCAGTCAAAACGCACCTATTTATAGTAAGTGCTGGAACAAAAGGCAGCTGTAGAGGAGTGTTTATCTTTCATTCAGGTGGGGCTTGAAAGAGCATCCGCTAACCTGACCTCAGTCCAGCACTGAGCGGTACTGGATAGGGCTCACCCCAGGTGTCTGTTACAATATCCATGTCTGGCATCCATTGATACACTCACACAGACACACACACACCTCTCTCTCTTCCAGTTTTTCCACTAGAGAGAGATGAAAGAAAAATGAATCTGTGTGGGTGTCTGTTACGAGTATCAGACCCAAAGCACAACAGTACAAATACACTCCAACACCACATGGTTTCTAAACAGTTAAGTGAAATCTAGAATATGTTACTACTAGGCTTCCTCAATGACATGAAAAAAGCATCATCTTTTTTAAGTTTTAAATGTGATATATTAAGCTGATAACTTCTCAGCCCTAATCATGATTTTGCATATTCTGAGTAATCCATTTGTTTGTTGTCAAAGTCTTTCGTTCAAATACTACGATACGAGTTTCAGCGAGAACAATTAGCCCATTTCAGAACGTGCCATCAACGGGGCTTGTGCAAGCGAACCATATTCTAACATGAATGGAAAAGTCCCTTCTGCCGATTAAGTTTCTGTTGATATTTTCTGCCAACAGAGTGCCCATGGCTGATTAGTAATTAAACAGAGTTAAAGCTGATACCACAGCTCCCATTCACCTTGGACACGTATACTCAGACAGACTGACACATAGGGTAGCTTCATATACCAACACCACACACACACACACACACACACACACGCACACGCACCTAAACAAAAGGTACCTATGCATATAAAGCCCTCCAGGATGGCATAGCATGCTAATGTTGAATAAAAGATTTAGACACATGGAGGTCATCTGCTCTCTGCTATCATATTTTGTTTGTTGTGCCTGTTTCTTTGTGTTTCAAATCATAAAATGCCATTTTCACTATTCATTTATTGGATTTTCCCTTAATAAAATGGTAGAGGAAAGTATTTTACATTCCCATAATTATTCCCAACTGTTTAAACATGGAACAGTTGTAGCCAAAAGGCATAGTAAGACACTTCCTGTTTCTGCATGTCCATATCCTGTCAATTTAAGTTGCATGGTGGAGTCATTTCTTTCACTCCTCTCTATCTTACCTCCTTGGCTCCCTTCCTGCCCTTAACAGAGCAGATGGAGAGGCAGAGTCTGGCAGCACGGGGTATGTCTGGGATGTACATATCATAGGTGAGCCACTCATTCCACCTGTAGATACAGAATGAAAGAGACATCGAGTCTATTTATGAGACTGGGGCCTACAGGAAGAGCCATAAACAAACTCAAATATAGGCCTATAGGGCAAGCAACACCCACCAAGAAGCTGACCTCAAGAAAGCTGTGCCACTTAACTCTGGGATCAAACTGGGATGCTCAAACACCTCATACTGTTTCTAGAAATTAAGAAAAAGTGACACATAGATACCTCAATGGCAAACGTATTTAAGTAGGACTGTTCTTTACTGTTTTTACCATGTAGGCCTACACAACATATTATTTTTACCTTTTTAGGTATAAGAGTACACCAGACTGGGGTTTAACAGTCATGTAATACAGCAGTTTAGTGTTACTTGCCAGCACTAAACTGTTAACGTTGCCCTCCTGCCTTAGACTGCTTAAAGTAAATTAGCAGTATAAATTCCCTAAAGCACCATTTCAGTGATAAAAGGAGAAAGTGTTTTCGAGTAGTAGTTATTTCCATTAGTGGGTGCCATAACTGATTCATTTTATTTAATCAAATTATTTCTCACTGTATAGTAAGAGTAGTATAAGTGTGTTGTAACTATGTTAAGAAAAACTCCTAACAAATAAAGTGACTTTGATTCAAGAGTCCTGTAGTGGAATGAAAGGTGTTGTAATGAAGGGTGGACTCTTACCTGGGGTTAGAGCAGGGTACTCTCTGTGTGTTGACATTGTCACACGACTGTTCACCTCCATGGTAAATGCCTGTTCTCACATATATCTATAAATATAGAAGAGAAGCAAAAGGCAACAAGAAAAATAACATTAATAAAAGATATGATATATATCTTCACTATAACAGTTCTAAAAGATTTGCCGGTTGAACAGCTTGTCTCAGCGTGTAACAGCTGTTGTGTTAAATGATCATTATAGCGGCATATTCGTGAAAACATTCCATTTACACAAATAATTCATGACAGCACACCAACATGAGCTGCCAGAGCTACTTTCCTAAAGGTCTCTGTTCACAGGAGACCTGGATAATGGCTGCTTGTTTCTACAGGGAGTGAGGTACTTGGGAGATGGGACACTGTGCACAACTGAAATAACCAAAAATAAATCATTCATTCATCTTCAAAAAACACAATAAATAACATCACTTTTTTAAAATCAATAAAAGATAATTCCTCTCTCTTTGGCCACTTCTAGTGTTCTCCTACCATCGCTGTAAGAACAAAGCATTAGTCAATCTGACTGATCAACACAGACAATGGTATATATTCCTGTAACTGTGCGCCCCCACCTTGTCTATGTCCCGTATATTGACGTTAACATAGGTGGCACAGAGGATTCGTATTCGCAGGGTGCCGTTGATGGCCCACAGCGACTTGGCGGCTGCCTCGCCATTCATATGGGATGTGGCCGTGGAGATGCGTCGAGAGTAGGACGGCATGACGAAGTTATCTGTTGGCAACTGAGTGTATAGGCTGTCCTTAGCCATTAGCATCAGGTTAGGCATCCTGCCGAGCATGATGCAACTACGGATATACTAGAGGGAGAGAGACAGAGAGAGGGAATGACGCAGAGGACAGTTGTAACAAAAGCACACAGAGCTACTAGAGTTACAGGGTGCGTAAGTGTAGCGAGTGATATCAACCGGTCATTTTCCAGCAGCTAGTAGAGGAAAGAGTGCATCTTCTACTTTGATTTGGCTCACATGGACTCTGAGCATGGGCTCACGTCGCTGTGCATGAGGAAATGGTTCCAGTATTTGAATGAAAGGCAATGTTGTTTTGACATATCCACAATAATTAAAGTAAATAAAGGATCTGGAATGGATCAGGCGTTTGGCTATATATCCTGACATGGATCGGCCTGACTCATCTTAGAGCATAGTTTGCTGGATTTCTGTGCAGACTGCTCCCAACTATGCCTGCATTGCTTCCGTTTGAGCCATTCAACTAAGAAACTAATATTAACGTCATTTAAGGTCATGATTTCTATTTCTAAGTAGATACATTTCCGCCCATACATCTCTTACCTTATACTGGCTGATGGGGTACTTTTCCAGCAGGTACTCATCACAGCCACACACTTTGAGGATGTATTTACCCTGATATTCCTGAACACACATCTTCAGCTGCTCTGGGGACAGCAGCATGCTGCGTGTCTTCTTACGAATGGCCTCTGCAATCACCTTTAGGACGAGATACATGCCCACAGCCTGCATTAGACACCCTTCAATCTCCTCACGTTGAGTTGAAAAGTGAGGGTGGCTCATGACTGATTCATTGTCTCTTTCACTTTAGAACATATTCCTCCCACCTGTTCAGGGACACAGTCGTGGTTGATCTTCAATGTATACTTTTGTTTGTCATTGTTTGGAGAAACAATCACCCAAATCACAACAATAATCTGACCTACAAAAAGACACACAGAATAAAAGAAAGCTGAGAAAAAAGAATCAATAAATCTGATTTCAAACAATAACCATCCATCTTTAATTATTTTGAGGTCTGGGGGTATTGTATCGACCTTCACAATAGTAGCACCTCAATCAATTCATTGCTCATTACTGTAGTTCCTTAAGGCTGGCTAGTAGCGATTAAGTATTGATGGCAGACTAAAACCTTCTTGGTCCCTGTTGTCTTTAAGTTATTTGTGTAATAATAATAATTGTCTACATCTTATTTTAGCCCCTTTTCCTTTTCCTGTAAAACCGGATGGATTATGCACCGAAGAACAAGAAAAGACTGAAGCTGTTGCCTACCTTTGTCCAGTTTGCTATGGATGTGCTTGGGAAGTTCCTGTGTGGATTCTATATTCGGTGGGTAAACATAGAGCGCTCTACTGTGGGGCCCGCTGGCGTCTCTCAGCTCCACAGAGTCTTTACAAACATTCAGGATGTTTCTCCTGAAGTCCTGAACCTCGGGATCCTTCACGAGGTCAAACTCACACACAGGCATACCAATGGCAAAACCTGAGAGAACAGAAAGTAGAGCCAGGTTTTTTTTTTTTGTCTTTTCAAGGCAATTTTTGGCTGGATTTGGTCTGTTTAGAAAAATGCTAAAATTATGTTTTCCTCCTCTATATACTGCAGTTTCCTAAAACACATAAAACAATCCACAACAAATGCAGGTATCTTTAGTTCATCAGTTCTGCTTATAAGGCTGACCCAAATGTGTTGAAGCTTCCACTTCACAGCTTTGGTAATCGATGTCCAAATTAGTATTTTAATGCATCTGTTTTTTTGTTTTTTTTATATATGCATTACATCAAAAATCCCAAATATCACATGAACTAAGGAATAGTAATTTCACATTGATTAGGCATCAACGTCACTTATTTTGAGCTATTCTCAGACGGATAGCGCTGCTGGCTGTGTGCTGTCCCAGAAGAGATCAATACACACACAGTCTTAATAAATGGTGTAACAGGTTACAGCGTATTTATACATTTGTATATAAACCTACATATGAGCAAATACATTTGTATGGTCTGTTGCTGTGATTTATTTGATGTGATTATTGCACATTTTGTAGCCGTTTTCGTTTTAATAAAAAAGTGAAATCCTTGACGGAGAAAAGCATCCGACTGAGATCTGTTTCTCTTACTAACGACTGAGTGAGTTAATGGTGAGGCGACTGACGCTCGTGAAGCTTTCTCTCTCTTCTCTGTGTGTGTGTGTGTGTGTGTGTGCGTGTGTGTGTGTCTTATGTGCGAGAGATTGATACCGCTTAAATTGCACCCCCTCGTCAAAGTTCTGAAAGTCATCAATTATTTCTCACTGAAGCAGCGGAAGCCCCAAAAATTGTATTCGGGGCAGCCTTATCTGTTTATTACATCAAGCTTATAATTAGCCCAATAATATAGCTTATATATATATATTTTTTTTATTCATTATGTAACTTGTAGTTAAAGCCGCCAAATATTCTACTTAGATTTCTTCAGCGAAAGAACTGATTTACAGAAAATGTTTAGCATCTTTTGTGTTTTCCATGAAATGAAAAACAGCAACTACTAACTATGATTTATGTATTTTGCAAAATGAAAAAATTCTCTTTAAGTCTTCCAACTATTTACTATCTCAGGCAAAATATTTCATCTTAATTAAACATGAAAACGTCTTTTGAATTTGCCACATGTTTCAAACTATATTTTACCGGTAATTCATTGTTAAGACAGAAACCTAACAACAGCTGCTACAGAACCAACGTTGTCTCACCAATCTCTCTGTTGAGGATCTTTTCCTCTCTGTTGCCAACTGGTTCAATGACCTTGAGGAAGGCCTGGAAGAGTCGGAGGTCACATAGTCTTCTGGTCTCGTCATAGAACTCCTCCCGCTCTGCTTCCTGCAGGCAGGACAAACAAAACAGACATATTACTGTTCTCCTTTACAAACAGCTTTTCTGGGGCAGTTCCATCAAACTTTCAAGAATGGATTTTTAACATATTTACTTATTTAGATGAACAGAGTTGTTCCTGACGACCAAAATCTTTGGAGTTGAGATTGAGAGCTCTTACCTGTGTAACACTGACGAAGATGTAGGACGTCTCCTCCTGTAGGAGTTGGTGGAGCGGATACTTCCTGGCCTCCTTGAACAGCTCATGTTTGATGGTGATGAGCGTGGCCTCTCGGAGACACTCGAGGGTCAGAATCATTCCGTTGGGCAGCAGGCAGTCCACCAGGATCCTGCAGACACGCTCAGCATTATTATAATGTTATTAACACTATTAATAATGTCTTAACACCTAACCAGGAACATACATATATATATATA